GCGGATTCATATGGTTAGGTTAGGTTTGCCGCCGATTTTCGCCGCACGCCCGGGTGCCCGGATGCCCGGGGGTGCCCGGATGCTCGGGTGCCCGGGCGCCTGGGTGCCCGGGTGCCCGGGTGCCCGGGTGCTCGTGTGTCCGGGTGCCTGGGTGCCCAGGTGCCCGGGTGCCCAGGTGCCCGGTAGCTCTATATAGCCCTATAGCCCTATAGCCCTAATAGCCCTATAGCCTTATAGCCTTATAGCCTTATAGCCCTATAGCCCTATATCCCTAGTCCCATAACCCTATAGCCCAATAGCCCTATAGCCCTATGGCCCTGTAGCCCTGTAGCCCCATAGTCCCATAGCCTTCTAGCCCTGCCCCATAGCCCTAAAGCCCTAAAAAGATTATGATTGGGTTTTTTCTCTGGTATCATTTTGCCTCTGGGACAACAATATATTTTGTCTCCTCGGGTGGTCTTGGGGATCCTCTTGGGATTATTTCGGGCCAGCCTGGGGGCTTCTTGGGCCGTCTTGGGAGGCCTGGACCATCTTGGGGCGCTTTGGGAGCCTCCTGGGGGCCTCTGTACAGCCTCCTATGGCCCTCTTGGAGTCTATTGGGGGCCTCTTGGGGCCATCCTTTGCCCCTCTTTGGGGGGTGGGGGGATCAACGTTTTTAAATGGAGGGTCCACGAAACTTTCTAAATCGTCAAAATGTTCTCTAGCCCTGGGAACCACGATCCGTGTGAGGTGTGTGTGTGTGTGTGTGTGCGTGTGTGTGTGTGTGTACATTGACCGATCGACGCCGTCTCGGGGCCCGGGCGTTGGAGGCTCAAAACACTTTGTTCTGGCCCTGGGAAGGGGGGGGTGCCTGGGCGGCGGAAATTCAAAAACTTCCTCTGGCACCCGAAGGGGGAGAGGATGCAGAAGGGAGGAGGCGTTGCGTTGTATTGCATTGCGTGGCATTGCGATGCAGATCACTGCATTGTGCTGCGATGAATGGTATTGCATTGCATCCTGTTGCACTGTATTGCTTTGCGTTGCATTGCGTTGGAGCGCATTGCATTGCATCGTGTTGCTTTGCATTGCGTCGCATTTGCATTTGTTATACTTGGCGCTGCACTGAGTTGCGGGCGAAGGGGGAGGAGAAGACAGGGAAGGAGGAGAACAAAGGGGGTAGAGAGGAGGGGAGGAAGGAGGAGTGACGAGGGAGAAAAAGGAGTGAGGAATGGGGGAGCCGTGAGGGGGGAAGGAGGAAGGAGGATGGAGGAGGGGAAAGGGAGAAGGACGATGAGGCGGAAAGGATAATAGTGTTGTGCGCTCCTCTGGCCCTTCTCATCGTCGTCGTCGTCGTCGTCGGCGTCGGCGTCGTCGTTGTCGTCGTCGTCGTGGCATACTCCACCACCGCGTCTCACGGCACGAAGTGGAGTGCCATCAGGTGCTCCAAAGTCCTCTGTAATCTATACATGGCGAGTAGAATGGACTTGTATTTGTCTTCGGACACCGCGGCGCTCCCACGTAACGGGTAGAGTGGAATAGCATTTGTTTCGCCGGCCCAGGGATTGCGATGTGACGAGTTGGGCGTGATTGATTTTTCGCGGGCCCCCGCGGCGCTGACACGCGACGAGACGCGCATTGCGTCACGATGCCTGGCGTTGCACTTGCATTGCGCTGCGATGCGTTGCATTGCACTGCGTTGTGTCGAATTGCGTTGAACATTTTCTGGCCCTGGCCAAACTAGCCCTATCTTTACGCCTCGGCCACGTTCCAAAGGGCCGTACCAGTAGGCCAAAGCAGCCGTACTCGTAGCCCCGCCGGCGTGGACTTTCGAGCATGTCTCGAGCGGGGGCTTTCTCCGCCTGTCGTACTAGTAGGCCAAAGTAGCCCTACTAGTACGCCCCAGCCTCTGGGGCCGTACCAGTAGCTCCGCTGGGGCGGACTTTCGAGTATGTCTCGCGCGAGGGCCCTCTCTGGCCGTCGTGCGGGTAGGCTACGAGTAGGCTGAAGTAGCCTTATTTGTACGCCCTGGTCCTCGGTCCTCGGTCCTTGATCCTGAATGTCCCCCACCTCGATCGCTGGTGTGTCTCCCCCTGGTGCTCCTCCTTCTCCGCGCCACCGTCCGTGTGAGTCGTGGTCGTCGTAATCGTCGTCGGAGTCGGGATCGCCCGCCGTCCTAATCTGAATGCCCATTCTCATCCTCATCCTCATAGGCATCATAATCATCGTGATAATCAGCATGATAATCATCAAGATAATCATCATCGTCATCAGCGGCAGCAGCATCAGCATCAGCATCAACATCAGCAGCATCAGCATCATCATCGTCGTCATCATCATCTTACCATCCTATCACCTTATCATCTGATCATCATCAGCACCATCATCATCATCATCATCATGATGATCACCATCATCTTCATCATAATCATTACCATTATCGTCATCGTCATCATCATCGCCATCATCATCATCATCATCATCACCATCATCAGCATCATCGTCATCATCATCATCGTGATACTCGTGGTCATCGTCATCGTCATCATCGTCGTGTCGTCGTCATCGCCATCATCATCAACAACAGCATCATCATCATCGTCGTCATCATCATCGTCATCCTTATCGTCCTCCTCACCATCATCGTCGCCATCATTATCCTCATCCTCATCCTCATCCTCATCATCATCCTCATTATCATCATCATCCTCATCCTCATTATCGGAATCATAATCATCATCATCATCACCATCACCATCACCATCACCATCATCATCATCATCATCATCATCATCATCATCATCATCCTTACCACCATGACTACCATCGTCACCACCTGACACACTGTTTTGAATCATAACCACCATTATCAGCACCAGAACCATCATAACCGCCCATTATGCATTGTTATGATTATCCTAAGCCCGCCACGCCCTCCTCAACCCCCCGACCCAACACCACTTCAACTCTCGAACCCGTTAATATGTCCAACCTCTCGAACGCCGACGAACCACTTGGGCAAGCGGGCAACCTGGCCGACCAACCAACAAACCAAGCAACCAAACCAACCGACCGACCAACCAACCAACCCAACGACCGACCAATCAATCAACCACCCAACCAATCGAGCAACCAACCAATTTTACCAACCAACCAGCAAGCCCATCGGCCAACCGGCCAACTGGCCCAACCGTCAACCAAGCAACCAAGCAACCAACCAACCAACCAACGAGCCAGCCAACTAACCAATAGAGAGACCAACCAATCAACCAGCCAACCAACCAACCAATCAGCCAACCAGCCAACCGATCAGCCAGCCCGCCAACCAACCAACCAACCGACCGACCGACCGACCGACCGACCGACGAACCAACCAATCTTGGCACGACCCTCTTACGGATCGCGCCTCGGGGATCAGATTTCTGTTCAACCCTCCAAAAAATCGAACCCTCTGAATTTGTTTGAACCCTCAGAAAAATTGTATTGAACCTGCTCCCTGTTTGGGCTCTCTGTGGCCGACTTGGGGCTCTCTCGGGCCGCCTGGGGCCCTCTTGGGAGCCTCCTGGCCAGTCTTGGGGCAATTTGTGAGGCCCTCAGAGCCGTCTTTGGCCAATATGGGCCCGAAACAGCGAGAACCTCAAAAAACTATGAAACAACCTGAGGACAAACAATGTGTTTCGCCTTCTCAAGCCGTCCGGGCGGTTCTCTGAGGAGGCTCTTGGCCCTTCGACTGCCGAATGCAGCGCCAAGACAGCCCCACGACGGCCCCCAGACACCCACCATACTCCAAAGAGGGCCCCAAGATGGCCCAAGAGAGATCCAAGACAGCCTAAGAGGGCCCCAAGGGACCCCCAAGACTGCCCCACAGGGGGCCAAGGCAGCCCCAAGAAGCCCAATCGAGAGAGCCTCTCAAACAGTGAAGACGAAAGGAGTCAAGTGTGACAGCCTTACTTCCTCTTCCTCCTCCTCCTCCGCCTCCTCCTGCTCCTCCTCCGCCTCCGCCTCCGCCTCCGCCTCCTCCTCCTCCTCCTCCTCATCATCATCAGAATCGTCATCATCAGCAGCAGCAGCATCGCCATCATCGTCATCGTCATCGTCATCGTCATCGTCATCGTCATCATCATCATCATCATCATCATCATCATCATCATCATCATCATCATCATCATCATCATCAGCTTCGTCATCATAATCATCATAATCATCATCATACTCATCAGCTTCATCATAATCATCATACTCATCATCATCGTTATCATCATCATCAACATCACCATCACCACCACCGCCATCATCATCATCATCATCATCATCATCATCATCATCATCATCATCATCATCATCATTATTATCATCAGCATCACCATCATAATCAACATCAGCATCAGCATCATCGACAGCATCATCATCATCATCAGCAGCAGCATCAGCAGCATCGTAATCACCATCATCATCAACATCGACATCATCCTAACCATCACCCTCACTCTCACCCTCATCATCATCAGCCTCAGCATCAGCACCAGCACCCTCAAACACATCGTCATCATCATCATCATTATCATCATCATCATCATCAACAGCATCATCATCACCATCACCATCATCCTCACCATCACCGCCACCATCATCATCAGCATCATCATCAACATCGTCATCCTTATCAGCATCAGCATCAGCATCATCATCAGCATCATCAATCTCTTCATCATCATCATCATCATCATCAGCAGCAGCAGCAGCAGCAGCATCATCACCGCTCTCCCAAATTCTGGAGGCACGAAGTGTCATACGAGTCGGACATCCGTGCTCCCTCGAACAGTCGCCACCCAGAATACTGGGCTGGCACGGTGGCGGGACTTGGCGAAAGCAGCTGGATATAAATACGCACTGAATCGCAAGTCATAAACGCACATGGCTCGAATGCTCCAAACCCAAGCAACGTATAGGACCAACGGGTTGTTGGCAACATCGGACCTTCCAAGGCCACTTCCGGCGCCCTTCAGCCTTGCCCGCGCGGTCTCCTGGCGCAGTGCTTCGCGAGAGCCATCCACATCTCCATCGGCACTTCGGCCCCAACCTCCCGCATCACCTCCGGGACGATCAAAATAGTAAAAGAACAGACATTGGCATACACTTACTCTTGCGGAATGCCGCGCTGATTTTTTGGGTCGGCGATGGAGCCCACTCACCACACCCCTGGTGGCACGACGCCCTCCGCGCGCCAGAGAAGGCGTAGGAAGGAGGTCCAGCGCCGACATAAGAAATCAGCGCGGACCTTCGAAAGTTCACGCTTATGGTGTTTCATGGTTCTCCTGAACAAGCAAGAGGACCTCACCTCCCCTTTCGAGGAATTTACCCGTGGCCCGACCACCACCGTCCGAGAGCACGCTGTGGCCTGCCTGCTTGTCGTCGCATTCCTCCTCGTCCTCCTCTTCCTCGTCCTCCCTGTCCTCTCCAATATTTGCCGCAGGCCGTCCAATGCAGCGACTGCCGCAGAGCACGGCTGCTTGGGATTACTGGCAGTGACCAGTACCAGGCGTGCATGCGGCGCGACAGGTTCGTAAATATACATGATTTGTCCTCTTGCTCTTGTCTTCGTGACGCACTGGTCTCGTGGCGCGCCATAATTACCCAGAGTTCCAGCATTACCCAGAATCCCAATGTTCTCTCCAATATTTTCCTCATCCTCTTCACCCTCGCCCATCGTCCTCGCTGTCGTCTTCGTTCTCCTCGCCATCGCCGTCTCCGCGCCGCACCGTGCCTCCACATCTCCCCCATTCGCACTCGGGGATCTTCTGACCCGGGTCAATCCAGAACCGGGTCAGTCAGGCCTTGCAGAATCCTGCAAGATCCTGCGAGATCCTGCACCCAAACCCGAGTCAATGCGAAGGAGCCCGCAAGATCCTGCAGGATCCTGCACCCAGACCCGGGCCAATGCGACCCTGGCCCTGCAGGATCCTGCAAGATCGGGCGCTCTGGCTGACCCCCGCTTGCACTGACCCCCCGCCTCTCGAGCCCCAACGCACCCCCCGCCTCCCGGCCTCCGGCTGGTGGACGGGACGCCGCGGGCCCCTCTCCCACGGAGGACGCCCCGCTGTGAGCCTGCCCCTCCCCCCGGGGAGGGTGGGGGGGCCTACGCTCGGGCCACCACCGCACGAGCACTGCCCGTCCTGCTCAAGAGGTCCAGAAATCCACCCCCATAATAACCACCCCGACACGCGAAGTCGTTTAGCAAACGCGCGCCCCAAGGGGCCCCCAAGAGCCCCCTAAGAGGCCCCACGGGAGCCCAAGACGCCGCCAAGGAGCCCCAAGACGCTCCCAATAAGCCCCCAAGAGGCCCCCAAGACGGCCCCAAGAGGCCCCAAATAGCGCTCCAGGACCGGCGGAATGAGCGAAGCGATTAAATAACCACCACCCCGACACGCGAAGTCGTTTACGAAACGCGCCCAAAGAAGGAATCGAGCAGGGCAGGGCTGCTTCGTAAACGCCCAGGGCCGTTTAGTAAACGCTCATTATCGGGTCCGGGTGGTCTTTCCTCCCTTGACTCCTGGTCCTCACCCTCAGCTTCTAGCACGTCATTCAGCTGCGTCAAACGAATTCCCAGGAACACATGGCAAGCACGCGCTCGTACAGAACTACGTAATCGATCAAATGTTCCACGATCCCGTATGCTTTCTGCAGCGAGTATGGTTGCATCGGCTGGGCATTAGATGAATTTGTAATCTCCGCGACCGTACCGTAGGCACTCAGTGAAATTGCCTCGTGTACGTTCGAGTTCTCTGCGTTGGGGATCGCAAGTGCTCTTTAAGGAACGCAGACCTGGATTCCCGGAATTATTGGTCGCTCTGGGGTTTAGCGTTTCCCCTGGGTCGTGGCTTTCTCGACAACTCGGGAGCGTAGTTCGGAATCCAAGCTTCCAACTTGCCCCAAGTTGGTCCCATGAGGCCGTACTGGAGCTACATATGTTGGGGGCCTCTGGGGCCGTCTTGAAGCCATAAGAGACGGCCGCAAGAGCAAAGCCAAAACCACTAAACACACACACACACACGCACGCACGCACGCACGCACTCACTCTCTCTCACACACGCGCACGCACGCACGCACACGCACGCACACGCACACGCACACACATCCACGCACACACACACACACACACAAACGCACACTCACTCTCTCACACACACACACACACACACACGCACGCACGCATGCACGCACGCACGCACGCACGCACGCACGCACGCACACCCACACACACACAAGCACGCAAGCAAGCACGCACGCACGCGCACGCGCACGCGCACGCGCACGCGCACGCGCACGCGCACGCGCACGCGCACGCAGGCGCACGCACGCACGCACGCACACGCACACGCACACGCACACACACACACACACACACAAACATTTGCCTTGCATTATTTTCGCGGGCGCGCCTCTCGAGCGTCCGTCACGTCCCAGAAGGCCCCCAAGAGAGCCACAAGACGGCCCCCAAGCCCTAAAGAAAGGGGGACCCAAGAAGCCCCCCAGAGGATTCCAATAGGGGGAAATCGAAGGGGGCTGGGAGGCATTGCGCTCCAAGATGGCCCACGAGATCGCCCCCAAGAGGTCCTTAGGCGGCCCCCGGGAGGCCTGCAAGAGGCCCTCGCGAGGCACCCAGAAGGCCCCCCAGGAAACCTCAAGAGGCCTCTGAGAGATCTCTCTTCCACGGCCCAGGTACGCAGGCAGGCAGGATGGGCCGAAGGACACTTGTAGGCAGCAGCGACAGGGAAGCGCTTGCGAACTGTGCAAGCACTGGCCGACTCCTGCTCCAAGCGAAGACTTCAAACTCTCTGCCAGGGCGGGGGCCTCCCGCCTCCCACCTGCCCACACGGATCCCCCTGGCAGCTCTGGGACTCTCCCCAGGACGGACCTGTCATCCTGAGCCGTTGTTTGACCAGAAGAACAAAAGAAACACATGAACATAAACTTTTGGCGCTCCGCGCAAATTTCTTGGATCTGCGCCGGACCCCTCCCTGGCGCGCGAAGCGTGCCAGGGGCGGCGCCAGACGCGCCGCCAGGGGGCGCCAGCGCAGATCCAAGAAATCTGCGCGGAGTGTCGAAAATTGATGTTTGTGTGTTTTCTTCTTATTCGGTTGACGGCCCCGGGTCCTCGGAAGTGCCCCGGAGACGGCGAAACAATTAGCGCGACGCGAGGTCACCTTCGCGCCCCCGCGAGGCCGCCTCAGAGAAGGGCAGCTCTGCAGCCCAGGACGCGACGCGCGAAGCGCGATTCTCTTGGCGCCCATGGGGGGTGACCCGGGGAACCCCTGAAGCCATGGAGGACGCGGAGAACGCAGGGCCCCTCTAGGAGCTTCCCGAAGCAGCAGTCCGCGGCCTGGCGCACGCCGAGGCAATCGCCCAGGAGGTTCCTCGCAGGCCCCTCAAAGAGGCCGCCTGCATGTGACGTGAATGGCGAAGCCATCTGGGCCGTCTAGGCGACGAAACGAGGAGGGGTCTTACACATGATGACATAGCGATCTTCGGCCGCGGCTTACGCGGGCTGCCAGCGCAGCACGCCAGTGGAAACGACAGCGCTTACGCGCGACCTTACGCGAACAACTTCCGCGCCAGTGTCCGTGCAAACGACCCCGTTTCCTCCGCGTCGCTCATCTGGGCTCAGAAGCGAGCATCTGGAGGGATGGAAAACGGGGACCATGACCAAGACTGAACGCGGAAACGTCGTGTCGATGCTGGTCACCGTCCATCCTGGTCAGCGCCGGTTCGTGGATCGTCCTCGCGAATCGGCGACAGCCGACATGGACCATGACCGAGATCGGCATCGGCAAGATCCCGCGACATCTTGGTCATGGTCCCCACGATTCTTCCCTCGAACATTGGACCAGGCGACCCGCGAGACGGGGCGCCCGCGGGAGTGGCGGCAACTGAGGCGGCGAAAGCGAGGAGGAGGCCCAGGGATCAGTTCGCCGTCTTGCGGCCTTGCGAGGCCACCTTTGAGAAGGGCAGCTGTCCCGCCCAGGCCGCGACGCGAAGCACGATTGGCTTCGCGCCCCTGCGGGCAACCTCTAAGAAAACGACTCGGAAACTCGGCGCCTGTCCTCTTCCTGCTGCTAGTTCGTTCTCCTCTTGTCTCTCTCCAGTGTGTGTGCGTGCGTCAAAATATACTTTATCACGGCGTGCATGGTCAGCACAATCATGCGTTTGACGTGTCCTCTCAACGCGCCCGGCTGTCCTCACGATCTGGGCAAGGCTTTTTCACGGCTGAGAATCAAGTTCCCTCGTTCTCATCTTCACCCTTGCCCTCCTCGACCTACCTGTCCTCGGTCACCTAACTTCGCGCATCACGCCCTGCGATGCGTGACGCGAGGTCATCTTCACATATCTTCGCGCTCTCGCGCCGCAGCCCTGGAGAAAGGCGCATCTCCAACCCAAGCCGCGATGCACGAAGCGCGACTATCTTCGCACCCGTGAAGGGGATCTAGTTTCCTCCTCACCCATGATCAGCTTCTCACATCATCATCCTGGGCCGCGTTTCTTGGCGACCTCGCAGGCCGTGTTTCTTGGCGGCCCTGGTGGGCGAGGGGAGGAGCTGATCGCTCCTCCTCCTCCTCCTCCTCCTCGTCCTCTCCTCCTCCTCCTCCTCCTCCCTCCCCTCCTCCCCCTCCTCCTCCGCCTCCTCCTCCTCTTCCTCCTCCTCCTCCTCCTCCCTCCTCCTCCTCCTCCTCCTCCTCCTCCTCCTCCTCCCTCCTCCTCCTCCTCCTCCTCCTCCTCCTCCCTCCCCCCTCCCCCTCCCCCTCCTCCTCCTCCTCCTCCTCCTCCTCCTCCTCCTCCTCCTCCTCCTCTCCTCCTCCTCTCCTCCTCCTCCTCCTCCTCCTCCTCCTCCTCCTCCTCCTCCTCCTCCTCCTCCCTCCTCCTCCTCTTCCTCCACCTCCTCCTCCTCGTCCTCCTCCTCCTCCTCCTCCTCCTCCTCCTCCTCCTCCTCCTCCCCCTCCCCCTCCCCCTCGCGCTTCTCCAATTCCTCCTCCTCCTCCTCTTCATCCTCCTCACCCCCAGGCCCCAGGGGCGGCGGGAGGGACCGTCGTCAGGATCCCGTCCCATTGGTCCTGCTGAGCGCGAGGGTGCGCACGAGAGGCGGGAGGAGCAAGAAGGGGGAGTGCGACGGCGACTTTGCATGTCGGTTGCAGTCGGATTCACACCTCGACTCACATTTCGATGTGCATTTCTACGTGCATTCGGATGTGCATCAATACTCGCACTCGTATGTACATTCCAGTGCTCACTCCAACTTGCATCTCGGTCGGCTGCAATCGGAGTTACCTGCTGGTGCACGGTATCATGCATTTTCAGATGTAAATTGTCAACTTGCATATCGACTGCAATTCTAATCACACCTCGATTTGAGCGACGTTTTGAAGTTCGATTTGCATGTTGATCTGCACCTCGACTTCAGGGAACGAGGGAGGAGCAAGGGGGCGGGCGGGGGCGGAGCTGTATGAAGGCAGGGCACGGAGACTTCTGGGTGCAAGGCCGCTGTCACGGCCAGCGACAGCGCTAAAGAAAGAGTCCATGGCTTATGCAATGGCAACGACCTTGACGATTCCGGCCACAAACGCTGTCTCGAAACGCAGCATGCACTAAATATAACACCTTGCGGCCAGCTAGCGCTTGCGCCGACCGCCGCTCCAATTTCGTCGCCATCCCCCCCCTTTTGCCGCCTCCTGCCCCCCCCCACCGACGCGGTTGCATGCTTCCACTTGCACGGGGATCCTGGGCCCTGACCCGCCGACCCCTTGGGGCTCCGTCGGCGTGTGACCCCAAACCCCTTTTCCGGGAGCCGGATCCAGCCGATTTGGAGGAGGGGGGTCTATCCAGGCCGGCCGGGGGGGTACTTTGCTCCAGAAATTTTGCCAGGAGGGCATCGAGGGCCTCAAAACGAGCCACGAGGGCTCCAATAGATCTCCCAGACGGTCCAAGAGGGTCCCGAGTCGCCGAAACATCGTCCCAAGACTTCAAGACGCCCAAGATGGCCTCCAGACGGCCCAAGATGCCTCCAAGACGCCCCAAGAGGCTTCGAAGAGACCTCCCAAGAAGGCCCCAAGAGGCCAAACTCGGTGCTTTTCATTGTTTTCCCCCACCATCCTGTAGTGTTGGGTCCTTCTTTTGAACAGAAAACGCCCCGCGTCATTCACTCACTCCTCCTCGCCTTCCCCCCATCCTTCGCAGGCATGCGTCACCCACGCCAATTCCGGCACACCACTCAAGCGCATCGTGGCTCTATAGGGAGCTCCACCGAAGGCGCCAGTGCCACCGCCCGCATGCGTTGCCTACACCTATTTCGGCACACCCATCACACGTTTCGCGGCCCCATAAGGAGCTCCACCGAAGGCCCCAGTGCCACCGCCCGCATGTGTCACCCACACCCATGACGTCACACCCCTCGCACGTTTCGTGGCCCCAGAGGGAGCTCCAACGAAGGCCCTGGTGCCACCGCCCGCATGCGTCACCCACGCCCATTCCGGCACACCCCTCTCGCGTTTCGTAGCCCCATAGGGAGCTCCACTGGAGGCCCCAGTGCCACCGCCCGCATGCGTCCGTCACCCACACCCATTTCGTCACACCCATCACACGTTTCGGGAGCTCCAACGAAGACCCCGGTTCCACCACCCGCATGCGTCACCCACGCACATTCCGGCACACCACTCACGCGCTTCGTGGCCCCAGAGGGAGCTCCACCGAAGGCGCCAATGGCTGCGTTCGCATGCCCCCACCGCACACATGTCGGCACACCCATCACACGCTTCGCGGCCCCATAGGGAGCTCCACCGACGGCCCCAGTGGCTACGTCCGCATGCGCCCACCGCACCCATTCAGGAACACCGCTCTCGCGTTTCGTGGCCCCATAGGAAATTCCACCGACGGCCCAAGTGACTACTTTCGCATGCGCCTACCGGACAAATTTTGGCACACCCCTCACACGTTTCGTGGCCCCAAAGGAGCTCCTCCGAATGCGGTGCATACAACGACGGCACTCACAACTGCATATGGTTGGGTCTTTCGCCAGGCCAATTTTATAAATTTTTGGATTTCTCACCTTTTCTGGCTTCCGACGCTCGAAGACGGCCCAAGAGGCCCCCACGACCGCCACAACACGGCTCCAGAGGCCCCCAAGAAGGCCCCAAGACGACCCAACAGGGCCAAGACGGCCCAAAAGGGCCAGAAGACAGCCCAAGAGAGCCCCACGAATTCCCCAAGACGGGAACCACGAACCAAAAAATCCAGCTTTCTGCCCCAAGAGGCCCCCGGGAGGCCCCCGGGAGGCACCCAAGGGTCCCCAAGAGGCCCCCAAGAGACCCCCAAGAGGCCCAAAAGAGCCCCCGAGAGGCCCCCACACAGCCCCCCAGAGGCCTCCGAACTGCCTCGGGCAGGCCCCCGAGAGGCTTCTCACGAGATCCCAACGAACATCCAAGAGGCGTCTGAACCACAACCCAGGCATGGTGGCGGGATGGACCGAAGGCCACTAG